CTCAATTTATTCCTGGACTACCTCTAATCTTCCTTCATGAAACAAGCTTACTTTATTCAGGAATAGGCTTAGTCTAGTACTGTTTTATACCCTGACTGAGAAAGCAGATCTCTGTTAGTCTTAATCACTGTCTGGGAAACCACCCCTATGTCATGAACATTACGCTAGATGACAAAATGCTTTAATTCAGTCCTAGAAATTACCACACTATTCCCAGAATTAAACACTGTGTTCCTGTTGTCAGTGTCATATCAGAGATTGGTTGCACCATTTCAGTAGATCGTTAAACACACACCCCATTGGCAAAGCACAAATATCACCAAACAACCAATCAGAAAATACTCCTCTCTGTAATCAAACACGAGGGCTCAAAACTTAAAATCAATTAACACTTAACACTCCATCTGAAAACACTGTTTGTCAAATTGCTTCACACATGATGCTCAACTACACTGTAAAACAGATACACCACATCTAATTAATAAAATTAAGGCAACAGATTACAAACAATATAATTAATTAAATATAACTATGTATGGTTTTAAGTAAAAATAAATAAAATAAGACATTTTATAACTATGAAGTAAGTATGAGTAGATTCAAATATAAAACAAGTGAATTAATTAAAATTGAAACAAAATTCTTGAGTTAATATGAATGAACAGAAACATCAAAATGTGGAAATAGCACTAATAAAAATTAATCAAATTGTCCATATCAGTGATAAATAGTTGAGTAATAGTCTGCATTTATCAGTGCATTGATTAAAATGTATTCATTGTGGTCATTAAAATCTAAATATTCTTTATTCCTAGGAATAACAAACTTATGTAGCTCTACAATTGAGATTTTTTTGCTGATACATATATATAAAAACTACACTACTCAGACCAACTAGCATACACCAACCTAAAAGATCAGACAATGAAATGTGGTAAAGACTAATATCAGTGCCGTACCATCCTTGATTATGGTGGGTTTCTAAAAATTAAAAAAGCTTAAAAGCTTAATAAAAATCTTAATATTAAATGAGCAAAGTGATTTGATTTGTTCTTCTATCACAAGTTGTGGTCTAAAAGCAATGAGGTCACCACCCATTATATCTGTTTTAGCAGAAATACACTCCTTCAGTCATTACAATAGCTCTTACCATTTTTCAGCCCTGCTAAATAATTATGTTATGCAGTCTAACACAGTGCAACTTCATAATCTGTGTTTGGTGACTGGTGTCATACACTTCACACACTTTTGTACCATGGGCAGTTCTCAGCTGAGCTGGACCGGTTCTTTCTTAGGATGATGGAAGAAACTTATCTTACTCAAGCTTAAATAAATACATTCATAATGAGGCAGTCAAGACAGGCAGAGCGCCAAAAAACAAGTGAGTTTATTTTAACGTGCCTAAACGCCCCAGAGAACCCGCGCACCCGCTTCGGCATACGTCACCAAACGACACCCTGCACGCATGAGCAAAAGGTAAGAGAATGAATTCTGTTCAAATGGTATGAGCCCCTACACACGCCCCCCCAGAATTCACAAACACAGACAAGTCCAACGTGTCACAATAGGCTGGGAGCCCAGCCATCGCCGGAGCAGGCCCCCACACACGCACAACAGCAGGGGTGGGGGCTGCTGGGGTGTCCACGTCCAAATGAGCAGGTTTCAGACGGTCCACCGAAACCCGGTCCGGCTTGCCCCTAATGTCCAGTGTGAAAAACTTGTCCCCAGATTGTAGGACACGGAAGGGCCTATCAGAGAGGGTCCAGACGCTCCTCCAGGACCAGCGGCACCATGTCCGGTATAACAATACTTTCGATGCATTCCGGACCCTGGTGCGGGAGAATGGTATGCGTGAGCTGTACCACGGCACAGTGCCCATCCTGCTGCGCAACGGGCCCAGCAACGCGCTATTCCTCGGCCTCCGCGGGCCCATCAAGAGCAGCCTGCCTCAGGCCGAGACCCACGCTGGCCAGCTGGTCACTGACTTTATCTCTGGCGGCGTTCTGGGAGCCACGCTGGGCTCCTTGTATTACCCACTGAATGTGGTGAAGGCTCGCAAGCAGTCGCAGGTGGGTGGAGCCTTCCAATCCACGTGGCAGGTACTGCACACCATCTGCAGCGAGCGGGGTGGTAAATTGAGCCACCTATACCGAGGGGCGCATCTGAACTACCACCGCTCCCTCCTGTCTTGGGGCATCATCAACGCTGCCTACGAGCTTTTAATGAAGGTCATGTGAACTGCTGGAAAGTCGGGCGAGCCTCTACTGCCCCCACCTCAGAATTCTCTGGCGGCCTTCTGGGAGCCACGCTGGGCTCCTTGTATTACCCACTGAATGTGGTGAAGGCTCGCAAGCAGTCGCAGGTGGGTGGAGCCTTCCAATCCACCTGGCAGGTGCTGCGCACCAACTACAACGAGCTGGGTGGTAAGTTGAGCCACCTATATAGAGGGATGCATCTCAACTACCACCGCTCGCTCTTGTCTTGGGGCATCACCAACGCTGCCTACGAGCTTTTAATGAAGGTCATGTGAACTGCGGGAAAGTGGGGGGAGCCTCTACTGCCCCCACCTCAGAATTCTCTGGCGGCCTTCTGGGAGCCACGCTGGGCTCCTTGTATTACCCACTGAATGTGGTGAAGGCTCGCAAGCAGTCGCAGGTGGGTGGAGCCTTCCAATC